TGGACTCATCTCCCATATATTCCAAACCTTTTTAGGAATGAAAACTTTATCTTGTATCGGAGGCATCTGTCCAACCAAACTCCTCCAAGGGTCTCCGAGGAACCGGGGAAAATTAATGATGGTCTGACTTCTGCCACTTAAAAATGCACAGCAGGTCCTCGGGGAACTGGATCACCTTGCATCAGAGTCTGGCTTTTAAGGACCAACTCTGAAAATTACAATCTGCAGTAAGTGATCCCCTGGTTCCACTACAGGAGCTGCAAGAAATCGATCTCTTCTACAGGAGTGTGGATCTCCCGAGGAAAGGACTGGATTTTTTCTGTCCAAAGCCAAGAAAACTCATTTCTTGTTTTCCACCAGAGATGTTGCCAATAGAATATACTGGCCAAAGAGACAATCTAAACTTTTCAGTTATTAACTAAAAACTTGATTTTTTTTAGGGTTTGTATCACAAGCAGTGTATCCAATCAGACCCTCTAAAGATGATACACTATACAGTACAGTAAACACAAAACTACTCTTTCTCTTAAGAAATTTAATAATATTCCCCAAAACCTTACAAAGAGATTCTTGGAGTCACTTTTAACCCAAAAAGAAGAACCATAAACTGCCTATGAATAGGAACAGGCTAAGTGGCATCCTTCAGATAAATACTGTATAATTAGACCAAAAGATCCTTATTTAAATTCCACCTTTCTTCTTGACGGTGAAACAGAAACCTGATGTTAGAAATACTGTACAGTACATACAATCATCAAAGGTGGACGAAGTACAATAGGCCCTTGCCATTCGCGGGTTTGCGATTCGCGGTAAGCAGCTGGCGGCTAGCTTGCAAGCCTTTTCCTGCAGCACGAGTCACCCAACGCACCCACGACATCTCATCTCCCTCTGTTCACGCTCACCTAGTACCCGTGACCAAGCATCTCGTGTCATGCTCCTAAAACTTTTATGTTTCTTTGTGAAAATGGCCCCTAAAAGATTGCCTAGTGTCAGTGCTAGTGATGCTAGTGGAGTGAAATGTAAAAGTCAGAAGTCAGTGATGACCCTGAAAAAAAAAAAGTTGAATTATTAGACAAGTTAAAGGAGGGGATGAGCGTTGCCACGGTTGGCCGGTTGTTTGGTGTGAATGAATCCACAGTGCGGTATACCAAGAAAAATTAACAAGCAATTTGTGATACTGTTCCAGCAAGTGCTCCTAGAAGGGCTAAAGTGGTGCAGGTTGTTCGTGACAAGATCATAGTAAAAACTGAGAAAACACTTAATGGTTGAGGACCAGCACCACAAAAATGTTCCAGTCGACAGCAACGTGATTCGTGAGAAGGCTAAAAGTCTTTATGCTCATTTTTACAAGTCAACAGGTGGTGAAGGGGCTAGTGCGGTGACTGAACCAGCTTTTAGTGCCAATAGAGGTTGGTTTGAGAATCTTAAGAAAAGATTCTCTCTCCATAATGTGCAGCTGACTGTGGAAGCTTCATCAGCTGACCACACAGCCCCAGATGCATTTCATGCCAAGTTAAAGAAAATAATAGAAGAGAAAGGCTATAGACCAGAGCAAGTGTTTAATGTCGATGAATCTGGACTATATTGGAAGAAAATGCCTGGTAGAACATACATAAACAAGGAGATACATGCCCCTGGGTTCAAGGCAGCCAAGGACAGAGTGACGCTTATCTTCTGTGGTAGTGCACCTGGCCACATGATCATACCTGGCTTGTTTTACCACTCAGCAAACCCTAGGACTTTAAAAGGAAAAAACAAGAACCATTTGCCAGTTTTTTGCCAATCTCACAAAAAGTCATGGGTAACTGTGCAAGCATTCCTGGATGGGTTCCATAAATGATTCGTCCCAAAGTGGAAAAATACTTTGCTTCCAAGAAGATGGAATTCAAGGTGTTATTATTGATAGACAATGCACCAGGCTCACCCAGAAAGTTTGCAGTTTAGCCATCCAAGTGTAGAGGTAGTATTCCTACTCACTAACACCACTGTTCTTATTCAGCCTCTCGATCAGGGTGTAATATGCACCTTCAAGGCATATTACACTCGACACAGTTTTGGTCGTATCTGTAGTGCCATGGATGAAGACCCTGACCTTGATGTTACCAAGTGTTGGATGGAGTACAACATTGCAGACTGCATTACTAACATCAGTGAATCATTCAATGAACTCAAACAGTGACAGTGAATGCTTATTGGCAAACTTTATGGCCTGAGTGTGTGAATAACTTTCAGGGATTTCCGTCCATAGTAAAGGATGTGAATGACATTGTGAGTGTTGCACATCAGTTGGGTGGTGAGGGGACAAGGAAGAAGATGTGAAAGAGCTGATTGATGGGCATGGAGAGGAACTGACACAAGAGGATTTGGAAAAGTTGGTAAAAGTGCCAAGGAAGATGAGGAGGAAGACATTATGGAATTACAACATGAAGATTGGGGCTTGGACAATTTTGGTGAACTACTTCGACAGGCAAAGATGGTAACTGATTTCATTGTTGACCACGACCCTTCCACGGAATGGAGCCTAAAGATGGTCTGAGGAATCAACCCGGTATTGTTTCCCTACCAGGAAATGTTTAAAGACCTCAAAACAAAGACGAAACAACTACCAATCATGACGTTTTTCAAGAAAGAACCAGCTACTACCACCACCCCGCCACGCATCACCCGCCTGATGATCCACCTATGCTTCAGTAACCAGATGTCTCCCTATGTACAGTGCACCACTTCATCAAGCTCCAAACTTCCACAGACAAATGTAAGTATTGGTGACTTAAGTTTCTCATAAACAGTATAGACATACAGTGTATTAATGCACTAAGGTATTATATAAGTTGCTATTCGCAGCTTTACCAATTCGCGCCATTTCTTGCAACCTAAACCTCGTGAATGGTAAGAGTTTACTGTATTTCCAGTACTGATAAAAGCCATTTAAGTAGAAGTACTGCTTGGGATGACAGTTACTTACGTAAAAGAAAAATCAACCTTATTTAGAAGTACTTAAGTAAGAGTACAAAGTACAGTACAATACTGTATTTTTAAAACCACTTAACTACAGAAAATAAAAAGTAACTGGGCGGCAGATCAGAGAGAGGAAAGCGTCGGAGGTCTCCATTTTTTTCTGACACTGTCCACTCTGGTTGTAAGTACCTCACTTACCATAGGAATAGAAACAAGCCTTCAATAGTACAACACACTGTATAATGAAGCAGTGACTCAAAACTTAACAAATTAGTCTCTTACAATCTATTTGCCCCAGTTAATGAACTAATTCAATACCTGTACTGCCAACTGTCTGATTCCTTAGTTTAGGGGTTCCAGTTTGTCTTAATGTAAACACTGAGAAACACACTGTAAACAATTAAAAGAGACTATTACTGTATGTGCAGACCTAACCAACTCCTGGACAAGATAACCAGCACAAATAGAACCATAACTATGTGATAATACAATACCTAGTTGATGGATATTTCCTAAACCTTCACTCTAGAATACTTGCCACTAGGAAACAAAAACTTGGTCATAGAAACTGTACTAAAACTATCCTGAGATAAGGTGAGTTACTGCATCATGAGGTGAGGGCACAGTGCCACCCCACCGTGGACTTATCACCTACTTACAATCAGATCATAAATCAATTAAACAAACCTCAAGGAAATGATGTATGAAATATTAGTAACTAGTCTTACCTTACACATGAGACGCAGAATTGTGGTAATCCCCACTACGTACTTCCCCCTAAAAGTGTCACAATATGGGGTAGCCGGTTCACTTAACAATAGTACTGTACTGTAAGGCATCTTGTCTCTGTAGTGGTCAGGTGGGAAATGAATGGAAACAGTAGACTGGTCCTGGAATTTAACAAGACAGGAATCCATAGCTGGGCACAGGTAAGGAGTAACTAGCTCAACACATGGTCTATTACACCTCCTACCTCTAGTATGTAACCTTTGCATCTAATCCCTGTCTTTTAAGGCTGGTGGGTGAGGTAAAGGGAGCTGGGTGATCATAAAATCAGTCACCAGCTGCCTTCGGGTGGGTATAAGGCATCAAGGACCAACCCCTCACTCTGGACATGTACAGTACTGAGAGTTGCCTGGCAGAAGACATCTAGTGAGAAGACTATACAGCTCCTCCCCGACTTACGACGGGGTTAGGGACCCAAATTCAGGTCGCAAGTTGAAATGGTCGTAAGGTGAAGTGGCTGCAAGTCGAAAATGCTTAAATAATACATAAAAAATCTAAAATGGGTGTCTTTTTCTTCTCAGCACCACAAAACTCTCACTTTTAAGCTTGCCAGCCATTTTAAAGTGAATTACAAACAAAAATTTTCTCTGTGTACTGACGTTGGGACTCGAAAATACGTAATTTGACAAAATTTTGGTACGACTGAGGCAGGTCATAAGTGCGGGTGGTCGTAAGTCAAGTAGTCGTAAGTTGGGGAGGAGCTGTATATGGTACATACTCTGAATCCTCATTAATTTGGAATTCATAAATTTACAAATCTGACAAAATTGTCCTGCATACTGTGTCAGGTCGGGTTACTTGGGCAGCCTGGAAAGTGTACTCAACTATTAGGTATCTCTCAGACAAGGGCAACAGTTAAACTATTTTTACAATTTTACTTATGGTTGGTAGGCTTCAATATTTTAGGTTTTCTATACAGAAATGTTTGAATTACTGTCACAGCACTATAGATACAACAGTTAGAGCCAGAAATAACATTCACACCTACTGACAAGATCTGTTCTCACCACACACACAGTTGTTGCTGATTTAGTTGTGTTTATATACCTTAAAACATCATTAAACATAATTTTTGCAGCTGAAAACCTAAGCAATGATTAGTATAAATACAACAGTTTGTAGGATACAGGTACACGTGTATGTGCATCATCCTTAAATGGGTCCAAAAACTCAGAGATGTTGGTTAATACAGAAAATGATGAATTGTCAAGGGGTAATGTACAGGTGCTTCTAACAATTAGCGAGAATGACCTTACCTTTGTTTGTGGTTGCTGTGCTCAAGTCAAGACCAGGAGTAATTTCAGTATCTGGAGAAATCCTATTTCTTAATCTCAGTGGGCTGGTTCGGTGCATAGCCTGAAAAAGTAATATATATATATAAAATGCTGATATACAGGTACTGTGGACTGTACAATATAACACTGACAAGTTGTATAATAGAATGAAAGTGAAAGTAAATGCAAAGTAAAGTAATAATGTACAGTTGTTCTTGAGAAGACAGAATTGGACAAGGTACTGTAGATTTTGGTGTCTATCAAAATAAATGTAAAATTATTATCAACTGCACCAAACATGACACCTGCACAAACACCAATGTTCTGGCCACTACATGGATGCAATCACCAGGAGGGTCTCAACTTCAGGAGAAAAGCCTGTTGGTCTGGCATCATACCAGTCTGTCAAATTTACGGTTTCACAGCCAGTTAAATGCACAGGACACTCACGTTGGCTAACTATGCTGTACACACCTCAGCGATGTTCTCACACCCTATAGCTACACCGTACTGCAGAGGTGGCCAAAACGTCAATCAAGCACCAATTTCTAGTAGATTGCACCTCTCGTCAACAGTTGGTTCATGATCCTGTATGGCGTGCTGAGATTACCCCTCGGATTAAAAGATTAGGTTAGGTTAGGACAGGCTGGGTTAGGTTAGGACAAATTGGGTTAGGTTAGATTAGATTAGATTAGGTTAGGTTAGGTTAGCTTTTCACCGAGTTGCACATGGCAGAAAATTTTCAACACGGTACAATCTCAGTTGGTGACACCTGCCACTACCATCACATCCTCCGCCAGTTGTGTGAGATATCATTAAAGTGTCATCCACATTTTTGATAGTATAGATTAATAAAGTGTTTTTCTCTTCTATCTTTAATTTCTTTTTATTCTTATCCCCCCCCCCACAAGGTCCAGTTGTGGGTCGATAACCTGTGGCCGGGTGAGCTATTTCCCGTATAAAAAAAATAATGGTAAGCATGACAGTTTACATTAATGACAATTCTCTTATGGGGGGGGGGAGACTGGGATGGAGGGTCTCATTAGAGTGACTGTGGAAAAGGTAACTCGCACCTCACTCAAGTCTGGCCACCCCTGCTGTACAGTATTCCCTTCATATTTGCTCCATTATATTTGTTTTAATATCTAATTTATCATAAATTCATGTGTTTGGTAAAAGCATACTGAAGAGAACTGTATTAAAAGATACAAATAAATATAATCTTCACATAATTTACCAAGTGGGATACAGGTATACAGTACTGTGCTGTATATGATTTGCATTGGCAGGCTCTCTCTTAAAAGCAAACAGTATGTGTCAAAAATGATTGGGCATTTGTGATTTGATTTGACACATTGATGTGTGACACATGATGGAGTGTTATACAGTACTGAACTGTACAGCTTGTAGCTCCTAGAAGCACACTAGGTGGACACACCCACCTTATACAATAAAAAACACCTGCCTCACACAGCATAACCTGATATGGGAGAAAGCAGCAGTAGTCTGCCATAATTCATTACTTAGAGCAGGTCCCTGAACATGGATAAGATATACTGTCCTGAACTGTACAACACCTTCTCCCCAACACCCAAGCTCAGTCTGGGGAACATGGTCTCCCTGCAGCCACAGCATCACAAAGTAGAGAGAGAAATCTACAGGATGTAATTCTCAGGGTATCATTAAGCCCATGACATCCTGGGATGAAAGACTACTGTACTGTACTGTACAGTATCAAGGTCGCTTCCCTTTCCCAGCTGAACACAGAAAACTGGTTGGGTGCCACACCATAATTCACTTCAGCCTGCATGAAAAGATCTTTTGTCAATGAATCCTGAGTAATTTTGAAACAGGGAATCCTCTTAATTCTCCGAGTCAAGTGAAATATAATGTCACCAAAATGAATCATTAATAATAACCTGCACTGAACTGTACAGTATAATGTAATAACATACAGTGAAGCCCCATTAAATGGGACTTTGCAAATAACCAGTTTTTCTGGAAAATATTTACCATTAAAACCATTTAAGATGTCTACAGTACAGTAATACATATACAGCTCCTCCCCGACTTACGACGGGGTTAGGGACCCAAATCCAGGTCGTAAGTCGAAATGGTCGTAAGTCGAAAATGCTTAAATAATACATAGAAAATCTAAAATGGGTGTGTCTTTTTCTTCTCAGCACCACAAAACTCTTACTTTTAAGTTTGCCAGCCACTTTAAAGTGAATTACAAACGAAAATTATGTCCGTGTACTGATGTTGGGACTCGAAAATACGTAATTTGACAAAATTTTGGTACGACTGAGGCAGGTCGTAAGTGCGGGTGGTCGTAAGTCGAGTAGGTCGTAAGTCGGGGAGGAGCTGTATAGCCATTTTACAAAAACTGCACTGTACTTACAGTATCCTGCTTCATCCATGATCCATTAAACAAGAAATGAAAAAAAATAAAAATTCACTGAATATGAACACGAAGGCACAGTGGTGTTAAAACACCAGGTACGGTACAGTACAGTATGTTAATGTGGAGAGGATACGTCATGAGCCTCACAAGTGTTCTGGGTGAGAAGATGAGAATATTAATACTTTTTTAAATGCAGTAATGTGAGGTGAAGAGAAAATATTAGTGTGTGTACCTAACATGATCTGTGGTGCAGCTGAATACTTCTTACAGTACTAGAGTTTATCAACCAGGATCCCAGGCAGCAAACAATAAACTTAAACCCCAGGATGTGGTGCAAATCTCACGATCTTTCATTTTTTGCAAAACATTCTAAAGGTATTATATCTAGTAATTCTATGCCTGCAGAAACTGTTATTGTGAATGTAGAAAATAAGCTAGCTGAACCTACCTGTAATTTAGTAAGAAAATAATAAATAGTACAGACAGTATGTTACAGGTAGCACAAGTATAAAGGTTAAATTTGGCAAGTTAATTAACAGTCATCTTCACCTGCGTTACACTGTAATGTACACTCAGCTGTGCTGTGTGTGATGTTCTGTACAGGAAAACTGAAATATTAGTAAAGATGTAAGTGTCAAGAGATAAATCTGGTGGATCAGCCAAGTTAAAATTAGACAAAGAAGGAAGAATTTAACACAGCAACTTATACAACAACAGATGATTTGGTAATGGATGTTGATAAATTTGTTGATTCCATTGGAGCTGTACAGTGAGAGAACCTTCCCACAGTGACAGTCTCTTACAGACCACAGTAGTGATTGTCTTTGTTTTCTCAAGTTACCTGTACAGTACTGTACTGTATAAATACAAGGTAAGAAGGATAAGAATTGTATTTGTGAGTTGATATCTTATGATCAAGGGCGGATCAAAGGGGGGTCCTGGGGGTCCGGATCCCCCTTTTCAACAGAAAATTCCGGTACCTTTCCTTTAATGCAGTATTGTACTGTGCAGTATAAATATTTTATTAACTTTAGTATGTGAAGTATTTTTCAATTAAATTTTTTAAATATTTTGTCATTTGACTAGGAGACAATTTCTTACCATCCTGTGATGAGAATACATAGGGGCCTCGATTAGGGAATCTGGTTAACCATTCTTGAAGATTCCTAACTGGGCACAATATATGAGGAACCCTTGTCTCATCCATTAGCCATTTTATCCTAATAGGTTGAGCCTGAAAATCCTCCCTTTCATTTTTTCTTAGGATCTCCGTAGGAAAAAGGGTGACATCTTCCTCAGAAAATACCAATAATGATGGATTATTGGAAATTGAAATCAGTTCACTAATTCTCATACCTGTTGCTATTGCTAGAAGGAAGGCTGCCTTCTGGAGCAATGTGTCCCGGTTCAGATTTATATTGTAATTAGGCCCTATAAGAAATCCGTCTTTTTTCCAAGAAATCCAGGACAGTGAAAATCCCGGGAAAGGAGACACCCCAATTTGTACCTGCGCGGGGTTTCATAAACATGAAAATAATTGCTTCCATATACATAAAATTATCCCTAATTTGTTTTTTGGTAGCATGAAATTTCAAATACAGGTACGCAAAATTCATAAACAGAGGAATAACATCACCCGAAAAAATTTATAAAACCCAATGTGATGGAGTGGTCCCCTGTGATGATGCACACCTGGCCTCACTGATCTCCTTAGTAACACAAATACCAGTAGTGTAAAGTACAGTAAAAGTCTAAAAATCCGGATGCCAGAAATCGTGACCACCCGAGAATCCGGAATTTTCGAAAACTCAATTTTTTTTATAATTTAGTTGGCTTTTGTGTGTATGTGTGCATGCGTGAGCGTCACAGCTGCACAGCGACAACAAGCGACCACGCGGTCGCCACTTTAAAACGAGCAATCAAACTGTGACAACGTATGTAATTTTGAGTCCTACTCTTTCCATTTACAGAGTACTGTACAAGCCCATAATAATGGCTCCTAAAGTAGATAAACTTCGTTGTGTGAAGAGAAAGAAGAACACGTTGAAATTGAGTGACAAACTTGAAATAATTAAGAAACTAGAACGTGGTGTGAGCAATACTGTTCTAATGAAAACATACGACATTGGAAAGTCTACAACTTATGATATAAAAAAGGCAAAGAATAAAATTCTATAATTCACAGCTTTTTCTTTAAAACTGCTCGTTTTGATAAGTAAAGCATGCTATATTTGCTAATAAATAAACTATCAAAATGTACCTGTTCATCTCTTCTTTATTCCTCCTTAAATTTGAATTTCAAAAGTACGTACTGCCTGAGAATCCGGAAAAATCCGAAAATCCGGACCGACCCAATCCCCAAGCAGTCCGAATTTTTGGACTTCTACTGTATGAGTATTAGACGTTTATACCCTACAAAGTTTAAGTCCGTATGAACAAGTCAAAGAAAACAAAAAAATGACAAGACATCATTATACATAAGGGCAGGGAACACATGTGTCAGAGCTGGGCCGATCAAAGTAGATTATCACATCTGGCAGCTACATTTCCTATTTAATCCAAACCAAACACACCTGTGGACATAGCTCGTGTTTTGGTGTCTATTTTTGCTTTGGGTGGGTTTATTTTTTTTTTAAGACTGATTTATTCTCATACTTTTATTTATGCTTATATTATAC